AAGAACTGAGTTACGTTTCGAGGGTATAAAACATCATTCCGTCCAAGGGGATTCATTAATTCTCCATAGGTAATCCCAGGTTGGATTCCATGGAGGACACATTGTACGCGGGGTAAGATAAACACGCAATGACAGTTCGTTATCCTTCCTCTATTCTCTTCCTAGTCGGTATTCCCAACAACCACCCCCTTGATTAAGGTAATCTAACGTGCCAGCGTTTCCCATTCGTTCTTGTTTCCAGTTGCCTCCGGGATGTCCTCCCATGCTCCAATATTCTCACGACCCAGACGTGAAATTACAAGATCCTCCTCGGCCAATATTTTGGGTGACGAACGGAATCATCGTCGATGTGATTTTAATCGAGACACTGTTTACGATGCTTCAGGGTGGATTTTGATCAACCCTAGTTAGTTATTTCATTTCACTCCTACGCTTAATATTAAAATTCACTCACTCGGGAATTAATTCGCGAAATAAAAGAGATTTTTGAAAGTTTTCATTCGGAGTTGAAATTTAAATTTGAATTTTCCAAAATTTGTAATTCGGATTTGAAATTTAAATTGGGATTTTCTAAATTTGTAATTCAAATTTAAACTTTGAGAGATTAGAAATTTTCAAAAATATTTTGTTCGAATTTAAACTTTGAAAGATCTAAAATTTTCAATGTTCAGATTTGGATTTTCAAACATTTTTAGTTCGAATTTAAACTTTGAAAGATCTAAAATTTTCAATGTTCAGATTTGGATTTTCAAACATTTTTAGTTCGAATTTAAACTTTGAATTCCAATTTAAAGCGCAGGCTGCACCCCACCCCAAAGCTTGCAGGTCCTAACGGCCGAAGGACGATATAAAAACGGGAAAAAGGGCAGCGGCCCACACAATATCGCACATAGTCATCGACGAGCGAACCGACGTTATTCTAAAGTCAGTTATTTTAAGCCCTGTAATTCTTTAGCCTTACACAATTTTTAGCATCTCGAACATGTTACGTTACCGCCTCTTCGCTATACTTAAGACATGGGTTAAAAGTGACCCGGCATTGGCTGGACGAGGGTTAACAAATACCGATAAAACTTCGCCGAAGTTCTCGTTAAACTGCTGACTTTTATTTATATTGTAAGAGTTATTGGTGAAAATAAAAGCGACGAGAACGGAATGCATTAATTTCAGGCGAATCTCCGATATATCGGTGAAATAATTTTTCGATAAAATATCGTATTAAATTCACGTGAAAATTCCCAGCAACTTTTAAATCCATCAGACTTACTCGAGGAAGAACACTCGACGCTAAATATCTCCGAGTGTTTTTGCGCTACAAAAGTTCGATACGTCTCGACGAAGCCATCGAAACTAATTAAACGTACGTTCAATTAAAGCGTCGCTCAAGGTCGACAACCAGATCGACGTTGATTTCATTTTATTTTCAATCGACGATCCTTGCGTAACGCGATTCCATCGAGTACCGTTTCGTTCGAATCAGTTAATCACCATAATTAACAAAGTTACGTTGAAAACGAATTGTTTGTGCCAGTACGTGCTGACTGAGAACATTATCCAATTAAAATCTCCCATTGAAACCTCCCTTACTTCGAGGAAAAGACATAGAAAATCGCTAAATAATTCGTTCCGAAAGAAACATTTAAACGTTAAGCCGTATATTAACAGAATTCTTTAAATTTTTCAAGTTTTCAAAAAAATAGTCGTATTTTTGGAGCAAGAAGAGTTTCACTTGATTTTTACGAATTTTTAATGTATTATTTGATACATAGACGCTTTGAAAATTGGTGCGCTATGCGCCCTTGGCGCCTATAGGCGTTTTAAATATTTTCTCGCGCTGCGTCCTTGGTGGCTATAGGCGTTTCGAATATTTTCTTGCGCCGTGACTTTTCAGCCTTTTAGCACAGTTTCACTTTAATTTCACCCTTAATTTTTACCCTCTGCACACTTCCACCTTAATTTAATAAAACAGATTTAAAAACGATGAACCTTAAATGTTTTAATTTTTCAAAAATTTTACGTCTACAGTCTGTCACTCGCGTTACGAACTACAATAAAATCTGCCGCAGCCAAATTGTTGAAATTAATTACACCTGTGAATTTTTCATTGAAAAGCACACAATCTCCAGTTTAAACCATTCCTCTATCCCCAACAGTTTCCAAAATATCAGACAAAATCCAGTAAAAATCCGTCTCTTTCACGTTCGAACGCTGGACTGAACTTCAAACTCGTGTCATAGCAAATTTCTCGAACAACTTTCTTCAATAAAATTCTAAAAACAGTGAAAAAATCGAAAGAATATTTCACAAAGGAAGAAACATATTTTCATACTTTTCTGTTATAATTTCGCACTTCAACTTACACGATTTGTGCAAAATTTTAACAACGAATAATTCCAAACGGTGTGGAATAATTTTTACTTGGACATTTTCAGCAAAGCTAACGAATTTATTCAACCAGTTACGCGAAATTTCTTCGAAACGGAGAACTGGACAGAATTTCGTTCCATTTGCGTGCAATTATCGTCATCACTGCAAACTCACTGGCTACCGCGACAAATAATCATGAATGAAACTAACGCGATTAGAGCATGTCAATCGTACAAGTTGGAAACGCGTCGATTAAACGCGCGTACTATTCTCGACGTGAAAAGCATAAAACATGAATGGAAAATCGAACGCGCTTCTAAAAATAGCCGGTGTTGTTCTTCCTTTCAATTTTAAGCTTAATTCTGTCTCGCGTCTGTCGCTGCCGAACAACTTGTGATTCTCGAGTAAACTCACGCCGGCTCTATTCTGTCGAGTGTAAAAATTAAAACCAGATTGCTAGTTTTTCGTGTGATATTGTTCACACTTCAGAATCGCAACTTTTTTCAATTTACACTACCGGCTAAAAGTTCGGAATCACCGAGCTTTGCAATTTACACAAAAATTTCCAGAAAAAGGTCAGCGACTTTGAGAATTTTTTATCGTTCGAATCAATTGATACGAGATAAATTGATAAAAGTAGAACTGAGATAAAGTTCAAATCTACAAAAAATTTGCAGCAGATTTAACACTAAAACTACCGACTGGGTCAAAGTGAACCATTAGCGACTTTCCAAAAGTGAATTTCCAAGTTCAAATCTACAAAAAATTTGCAGCAGATTTAACACTAAAACTACCGACTGGGTCAAAGTGGACCATTAGCGACTTTCCAAAAGTGAATTTCCATGTAAGTAAACCGTGATTGGAAAGTTCGATTCATACCGATACAAATGGAAGCATACATGTAGAATACAAATTCGGAAAGTTACAAGCGACAATACTTACTAGTATAGAACATTCACGTTTGTTCGAAAGATGCTAATGGGTCATTTCGACGCGGTCGGTAGTTTTAGTGTTAACATCGATGAAAAGTGGGAGGTGATTCCAAACTTTTTACCGGTAGTGTATATGTGGGGAATGACAAAGACAATGTATCGTTGTCTTAATATCGGAAAAAGTGTTCCATATTTTATGAAATGTACCACTCAAATCACCATCAATCTCAACTATCTAAATCGATCGAACAATTCAATTTCCTATGACCATACTGCGGATGTTTATACGATTGTAACGTATTAAAATACAGGAGAGTAAGGTAACAGTCTAACTGACTGCAGTAAATACGTTTATCTATGAATTACTATTATTACGTTAGGTTTTTTAAACGAAACTTTAGATATATTGTACTTCTTTTTACAGAAAATAATGTGTTTAAACGAAATAATTTCCGTACGGTTCTACACAATTTTCTGAAAGATTAACTGAATGAGGAAATTCTTTGAACCCTACTTTTACAGTGTCTTCGTTTCGAGGTAATTTATTTGTTAAAAAAGATTGTTCGGGTGTCTGAAAATATGGCAACTGGACTGTTTTCAATAATTTTTCTCTCGGCTCATTTCCAATGCAAAAGCACCAATCTTGAATTTTGCTAAATTTATACTTTCACCAGTTTTTACCGCAGTTTTTCCCAAATTTATATTTGTACAAAAAATTACGCGAACATCGTGATTTTTCTAGACCTATGTAGTTGTATTCTGAATTTTTTACTATTCAATACTTTAAATATTTTTCTTGACACAATTCCGCCACTTCATCTATTGAAAAGAGAATTCACTTGCACCGACCTAATGTTCGCCTGTCTCAAGAAAATCTAACATTACTCTCATCTGTTCTACGTATATACGTTAAAACCTTCGCAGAGATACACCTTCCAAACCCTCGCAACCTACGCACCTCCAATCATGTACAATTCCTCACTCGAGAAAACCTCGAGAAAACCAAAAAATTTCTCCTGGCTCATTGCCAATGAAAAACCGCCAATCTTCAATTTTGCTAAATTTATCTAGGAATCCATTAGAAGCAATTAACAGTTTGCAAGAATCCGAGTCGTTAGAAGCAATTAATGTTTAGGAATCCCTCGGTCGCCAACACGCGTTTTTGCGAAGGTGAGCATCACCTAATCCTAAATAGTAGAATGTTCTGGAAAATGAGAGTGCAAGTGTGTGTGGCCTATAAGTAAACGAGGTAGGCCGCGGGAACGGTCTTAGGATTTCAAAGTTTTAGAGTTGTAAGAGCACAGACACAGACAACTTTAATAAAGTTCTAAAATAAAACAAGTTCTCACCCCAGTCACCGCTTCTCATAACATATCCCACATTTATATTTTCCAAATTTGAATTTATACAAAAGAATTACGCGAACATCGTGATTTTTCTAGACACAGTAGTATTCTGAATTCTTTTACTATTCAATATACGTGTGCTACAGTAAATTCCTTCTTCCCGACATTCAGCTACTGAAAAGACATTTTCCTAACGTTACCCTCATAAATTCTACATATTTCAACAACAGTCTACTTAAAACCTTCCCAGAGATACACCTTCCAAACCCTCGCAACCTACGCACCTCCAATCATCCACAATCCCTCACTCGCACGCACCACAAAACCAAAGAAAAAGAGAAACTCGAATACTCACCATCGTCGAGGTAAGAAGGGCTACCGAGGGTCCTGCCGGCGAGGACGATCATCAAGCAGAACAACCACAACAATCCAAACTTCATGACTTCCTTAATTCCCTCGGATGAAATCTCCAAGTGACAAAATTGACGTTACTTCGATAGACGAAAATCGAGACAAGGATTCGTCCCTCTGTTGCGTACCCTTTCGTAGCCGGAGTACAAGTGAGGTTTCCACGCCAGACCGGTAGCTTATATAGACGAGGGAGGCGTGGCGATCTCGCTCCCACGAGGATCTAGTTGCGGAGGGTGAAACCGCGGATAAGACTTCCACGATGTTCCACGCTCTTTCCATGGTGTCTCTGCAAACCTCCTCCACGGTGTTTTGGATTCTACCTGTGAAAATGAGAAGGCAAAAAGGAAGAAGAAGCACAGAGAACGCAAGAGGGAGAGAAAAATAGAGAGGAGTGATTCTTTCCGGAGCGATGCGACCGAGCATAGGGTGGCTGCCACCCTTTGGAACGAGCAACTGGTTGCGAAGCAACTGGTACCCTCGCTGTGTGCCTATCGGACGATTATGTGGCCCGTAATGCGATTTACGTTTCCGTCACGTTTGCCACACGGGTTACTTTGAATCGTTTCGAAGACGACTCTCCCCGTTCCTCTACAGGGCGAACTGTGTGTACGCGACGACACTTTCACAGGGAGGGATGCTAGTTTGACGGGAAGGGATTTTGGGCCGCGGAGATGTACGAGAGACGGAAGGCTTTCAATGGTCTGTGTCGAGTAGATTGCGGCGTTCCGATGGAGAGATTACGGTTTTTGGTGTCGCGAGCGACGGGGTAGGTTGTACGAAGAGGGGTAATGAGACGAGGATCGGATAAGAAGCTTTGGGGATTTAGGGTTACGACGGAGGAGATGGGAGACGAATTTAATTGGCCGCGGAGCTTCGGATAGTGGGCAATTCGAAAATTGAATCGTTCATCTTGTGGGAGTGAAAAGGTGATTCTGAGGAGATGTTAACATTTTGTGGGATTTTGCTGATTACTTTTTATTCGATAAATTAAAAGTACCCCACGTGTCGCCGGTGCTGTTCACTGTTATTGTTTTTTATTTGTAACAAGAAAATGTAATTCGCTCTCTCGATACTCGCGTTTCGCTGGTCAATCACACACGCACTCCCACACTCGCTCCATTTCACTGGAAAAGGACGAGACGTCGCAATCGGCTTGGCAACCCATGTTATCGCCTAAACATAAACAAACGCGCCACGCACGATCGTCTTTCAGTCGTTCTTCCTTTCCAGGCCATTCACACCAAGTCTCTCCGTTTCTCCATCTCTCCCCACAGTCACATACCAAAAACCCCGCAGTATGTAGGACGAATTTTCAATATTTTTCTTTTATTCTACTACCGACCATAGCGACACTAGCGACTAAATCAGAATTGTGAGAAAATCCGTCCCGAAGACGGTGAAGCGAGCACCTTGAAGCCACGCCCAGCGCGCTCGGTGGGGACGACTCCTCCCCTTTGGGTCTTTCCCTGGGCCTGTTCGCGTAGGGGTGGACAGGGATCGGCAGGACGACGCGTCCTTACACTTCACGAGACCCTCGAAACATGCGAACGACGCTCAGATAACGCGGATATAGACTTTGAATAACATATACTATTGTAAAAACGTAGACACGTTTAATTAATTTTACGCCCACCCTACCCCGAATCGGAGTACCTTCTGACAGAATCAATTGGAATTTTTCAATTCAGATAAGCAGCACGGCTCAAATCACGACAACCATCAACAGCAGCCATATTTAATTATTTTTCAACCGAAAAAATGTGGGATCAGAAATATGAATAGATGTTTATTTTACAAAATATAAGAATAACTATAATACTATGACACACGCTTCTCGACTTTTCCAAACACACTGTCCCTTCATCCCTCGCACGGCGTACTTTATAGCCAAGCCCTCCGTGGAAAAATGTGGGATCAGAAATATGAATAGATGTTTATTTTACAAAATATAAGAATAACTATAATACTATGACATACGCTTCTCGAAACACTTCTCCAAACACACTGTCCCTTCATCCCTCGCACGGCGTACTTTATAGCCTCTTGTCGCCGGGGTTTTTCCCGTTGGGCCTGGCTATCGTCGCTCCGCTTTCTCTCTCGTGCTCGCCACATTTGGTTAAAACTACCCTTTCCCAAAATTACGATACTACAAAAATTGACGTGTAAATACATAGGAATGAAGCTCGTGTTGATAACTGTTACTGAACTTCTGTAATAAATTAGCAAAGAAGGCCTAAAAAAAGGGCTGTCGCTCTAGAATACCACCTTAACTCGTTATTGGTTAGTTAATGCTTAGAATGAAGTTTGTTGTAAACGATGATATGTACTTTGTTAAGGAAGAAGAGATGTTACGAGAACCATGTCAACGCTAGAAGAATCGGCCGGGTCAAAAATGACCCGTTAGCAACTTTCAGAGGATGAGGGTGATGTTTATCGAGTAATATACCATTTGAACGCGTAGACGTTGCTCTATCATATAAGCGATACACTTTTGTTTTTTACCGTCGTTTGTTCCGAGTATAACTTAAAAACGTAACAATGGACAAGAAGCAAATTCGTACCATATTTTTATATGAATTTAAATTAGGACGTGAAGCCGCGGAAACTGCCCGCAATATTAATCGTGTACTCGGTGAAAGCACGACTAACGATTATAATGCGTAAAATGTTATTTGTTAAACAAGCAAGTTTGGTAAATCGTAAGGGACCAATACTCCTACACGATAACGCCCGCCCACACGTATCACAATTCACGATTCGGAAGATACACGAATCGGATTATGAAACATTAAAACACCCTCCTTATTCCCCCGACTTATCCCCTACAGATTACCATTTTTTTAAACATTTCGATAACTTTTTGCGAGAAAAAATCTTCCGCAATAAAGAGGACGCTGTAAATACCTTCGTGGAATTTATTTATTCTAGAACTCCTGATTTTTATTGTAACGGAATAGGAACTCTTGTAAAACGTTGGAAAAAGTGTATAGAATCTAGCGGAAATCATTTCGATTGAATAAATTCATTCTAAGCAAAACTACGTGTCTTTAAATCTCACGCACAGAAACCGCAATTTATTTCCGGACAACCTAATAAAACGTGATTGAAAAATTGGATTCATATGGATCGAAATGCAAGTATACACTACCGGCCAAAAGTTACTACCTGCTATTAATTCTTTATTGATTTGAAATTGATGTTGTGGAGATCAATAACGCTTTACCTCATTTCGATTCATTTGAATGATAAAAAATTCGTTAAAAAATTATTACAAATGCTACCTTTTTGGGGGGGAATTTTTCTGCAACTTTCAATGCACAGTGATTCCAAACATTTGGCCGGTAGTGTACACGCAGTAAATAATGTCGGAAAGTTATAAACGAACATTCGCTCTTTTTGGAAAGTTACTAATGGGTCATTTTTGACCCGGTCAGTCTTTCCACAGTTAAAAAGCTAACAAAGGAGTGTCCTCAAGTAAAAATCACCGATTTTGACGAAATTTGTGTACAATGTAGTTCTCGAAAAAATATCTGACGCATATATTTTTTCATACTCTGAAATCCACGTTAAGAGGGTTAAAACAGCCCTCAAAATTGAGGCTACAGAACGTATTTCACGAAATATCTCACAAACTACTAAGTTTAAAAAAGTAGTTCCAATGTAAAAATTACTTATTCTTAAACGAAGAATTTAACAATACAAACAGCTTCTAAAACCATTAATTTGTTTAAATAATACATCAAAAATTACCACATTCCTGTTACAAACGTACAAAACCAGAGATAAATTAGAATTGCAATTTTCATAATTATAACAAAAATTACTACACTCCAAATTTTCATTGCAAATAGAAAGTACATTCTAGAGTAACTCGAAATTACAACAATTATCTCAGACACGCAAAAGTTTCTATTATACACGAGCACCGAAACATTTCCATGTTTAATATCGATCTCGAACCACCAAGTAGCGGTGTATTATAAAATCCATCAAACTTTCTTAAATTCGTTTGCTGATTCCACTTTAAAATCATTCGCCCGTATAATCCAGCAATTATGAACAACCGTGTATCGTTAAAGCCCCGTTTCCTTCCAGCTGATTTTCCTCGAAATTCCATTTATCTTCCGTTGCAATCGTTCTGTTACACCCTCAAATATTTTCCTTCTTAGTCCTTAATTTTATCCGTATTTACGAATCACCCACTTTCACCATTACTCGTACCGAACTCTTCACCTTCCAACACTCCTGCATAGTCACAACCCAAAGTCCATCTTCCCAGAACCCTTAAGGGGGTCTTCTAGTGTGACGGTTTCAAAAAATAGATTTTTATTTTTTTGCATATATCGAAAGTACAACTCTTTAAGAATGTACTCCTCAAGTTTTATAGTTGTATTCAATAAAATAACGAAGTTATAGCTCGTTTAGTGTGACACATCAAGGGAGAATGTAAATAGCACTGAAAACTTTAAACGCGTTTTTCTCGGAACCACGTTTTCTGAAATGGTTGCCACGATCTGGCAAAAACTACCGAACCAATCGAACTCAAATTTTGCACATGTCTTCGGAACATGTGTGGCTATGGTCGGTAGTAAAATTATGCCAAAATGTATATTTTTCTGATTTTTAGAGCCTCTGAAAGACGAAAAGAAGTCGAAAAAATCGATACTTCGTATTCAAAGTGCCGCCATTTTTTTAATTTCCAATATTTTTCTTTTATTCTACTACCGACCACAGCGACATGCACACTAAATAAGAATCAATTGGATTTTTTTATTTCTGATAAGCAGAACAGCTCAAATCATGGCAACCATGGACCTACTCTTTTTTCTCATGCTCCTGTTTGACGTGTTCCACAGTAGCCATATTTAATTAT